CTTTACAGCCAGAACAGGTCATTGCCGCTTGTAAACCCTAAAATAAAGCTATAATCGGAGTCCTGTTGTGATAATTATTTGCAAGTAACTTTTAAGTTAACATTATTCAAGTGCAAATCGCCAATAACTTCAGACCAACCATGAAAATTTTATCATCATTCTTACTTTTGTGTATTGTCTCATTCAACAATGGAATATGTAAGTTCACTATTAATATTAAATGCAACTTTTTAATGAACTATCTATGCTGAAACCAATCATCTTTATACATAAATTCATTTTTTGATTTTATCTTTATTCAGTCATCTTTGAGAATCTTTCAATTTATTGTAATTCTTGTCTTTTTTTTCAGCTTATGTCGAGTGTGCTTACTCACCCAACAGAGCTATTTTTTTGCATAACAGTGGACCTCAATCAATTAGTGATCCAATCGGATTCACCGTCACAGTTTTTAATTCCTCTAAATCAAATGACACATCATATGAGTATCGGTTCAAATTTGACCAGTTTCCTGAACATGATAAAACCATTGTCTCAACTTCAATTCAAGTTCGATACTCAGTAACATTTGCATCAACTTGTGTCAAGAAAAGTGGCGAATTTACGTTACAAGTTGATGTATGGGAATGTCACCTCGGTGTGCCTACATATTTGATAGGAACTGCCCCTGAAACCTTCTATCTTTATGGTAAATTTATCAAATAATCTATCAAATAAATAGATCAGGTCAAAAGCCGTACACTAGAGATGTGCAATATTATCGTTATCAATAAGCATCTATATTTATCGTTATTTTGTCCATTGAAAAATATCGACATTCTGTCCTAATCAATATTGGAAATGAATATTGCGCATCACTGTTGTACACTCTAATATAAAGCTGTCGTTGAAGTTTTTGTGCATGAATATGTGTAGCACTGAATCACATCTGAGAATCCGTTTGATTCACGTTTTTCTTGTCTATTCATTTTCTAGCCTGTGATTGGATTGAAGTCCATAACGATGGACCTGTTACCCTTGATGCACCAATCACTTTCACAGTTAATAATAAATATAGAACAGATGATCCATCATTTGAATATCGGTTCAAATTTGACCAGTTTCCTCAACATGATAAAACCATTGTTTCAATTGAACGTGAAGTTGAATATTCAGTGACATTTGAATCGTCTTCAACACCAAAACCTGGTAACTATACAGTGCAAGTTGATCTTTGGTTTCTTGGCGTCCCTTCACGTTTAATTGCAACTGCTCTTCATGATTTCCAGCTTTCAGGTAACTTTCAAACTTTATCATTACAACATTGAAAAACCTAAGTGATAGTTTCTTTTGCCCATACTGGATATCATATATGCAGGCTGGTCCAGTGAAAGTAGTGCAACTTTCATTAAAGTTTTCCCTACCACAAAAATCATATTCAAATTTAAGACGTTTTCAGCAATCAAGGTTCCACCTGATTGACTGAAGCACTCTAATTACTTATTACTAACTTTTTCGTACTTTCATTTGAAAATCTTTTCAATTCCATATACTCAAACAACAAATTAACAAAAAATTAAGTTAGTCAAAGTTTTGTTTTGGATCTTCTAGAAGGAAAGAAAATGCAGCTGATTGAATATATGGAACCGAAAAAATTAGAGTAACTATTATATAATTCAATTTGACTGCAACACTTTGCATTTCAATTTTGTATCGACTTTTCTAGATGAACTGGTCGGATTTATCAATAGAGAGAATTTCATTGAAGATTCTATTCTTGGTAAAAATTTTATTTCAACTGAAATACCAGTTGAACTGATTGCTGAAATTCGTGATCCTACTGGGTTTTTCACCGGACGATGTGGAATCCCACCAGCTAATATAACATATAAATGGATTATTAATGATGAAGTACAAGAGGAAAGATCTAAGGTTATTGTGCATACTTTTTCCCAGCCTCGACTGAACAACATTTCAGTGTTTGTTACAGCAACTAAAACCAATGGAAGTCGTCTTATACAAAAATCTGGTTCATTCAACACTACATTGGAAAGCAGAGCTCCAATTACTAATTTGACTGTTGATGGTCCAACCGAGGTTAAAGTGTTTGAAAGACTTCAACTTGATTTTAAAATTCACGGAGGAACACCTCCATTTCATATTACCTATCATTTTTCGATGAAGAACCCACACACCGAAACTGAAAGAATTGTAAAAGGCACGAATGAAAGCCTTTTCTCATTAATTAATTATTTCAGCGATGAAGGAACAAGAGATTTATATCTTGTTCTTGAAAATGATGTATCTTCATACAGCAAGTCAATGGCCATTTCAGTCCATTAAAGTATTTTAGACCCTGTTTTGTGAAATATCGAGAGATAGAGAACAATTCTTTTCTCAATTTCTAGTTTTGTTGGAGATAATTATAAATAGCATTCTGTACTCCACATCAGTTAGGGAAAGGAAAGGGTTTATGGCACATGAATCAATTTCAACAGACTCTAAAGGTGAATCTGATCTTCAAAGGTTATCAGTTAGATGTCGCTTCGCTGTCGCTAGGTCAGTTAGAATACAATGGACAAACCGTTAGCTCAAACTTCAACCTAATAGCACGAGAACTACAGGCCAGATACAAATGAAAAAATGGAAATGGGCATGGAAACGGAAACGAATACAATTGAAAGCTTCTTCTCAATAGTTAATTATTTCAGTGAAAAAGGAACAAGAGATTTATATATTGTTATTAAAAATGAGATATCGGAAATTCGCCATGGATTTAACATTTCTGTCTATTGAAGTATTTTTCACCAAATCTATGAATCCAGAGTTCATAACTTTTACTCTTTGCTCTTTATCCTATTGTAGAAATTCAATCGATAGTTTTGCTGAAAATTCACACCAGAAATGAGTGCAAAAGATTAAAAATTTAAAACTAATTATTCATAATTGAATCATTTTTTATATACAATAATAATAAAAGAGTTAAAAATTTGAATTACAATAAATGTTTCTTTAAAATGTATTCATCTATCAAATGAGCTTGGTTTTGGGATCGATGGAGCCAATGACTGTCTGGTGTTGGTTCCTCCAGTGTTATGGCTTGTTGATGACCATGAAGGTCGGTTTACAAGAGATGCCGCATCATTAGGATGAAGATAATTATGTCTCGATGAATTTGAAGTAGTGGTTCCTGAAGGCTGTGAGTGTAGCGTTGTTATATTGATCCCGTTAACAGCATTACCTATCAAATTTAAAAATGAATACAATTAATTCACTGTTATCGAACTTATTGAACATTATTAGATTCATAAATTGCATTTTAGCTTTTACCTGATGTTGGCTCATTCTGGGTGTGAGTAAGGCCTTGGTGTGACAAACGAAATATTGTTTGTTGAATAGAAGGGACTAATGTTTGCTCGATAATTCGACTTAAGGCCACTGGAAGTGATTCTAACTGTTCTTGAAGAGTACCAAGCCTCTCTTCAAGAACAACTATACGTTCCTCCAAAATTTCTTGACGTGAGTTCATATCCAAGACTATATCACGAACTTCAGTTTGAATCTAAATAAATGAAAAGAAAAGGTTATATTTAGAATTGGCTTATAAATTGTATCTTGATTGATTTGTTCAAAAATGCTCAATAATACTCAAATTGATAAACGCAATTGATTTAAATTGAAATATAAATTGATTCAAAAGTGACTTTAAAATTTCCAATATCAATTGCACAGATAAACCTGTCATTCGATCAACTTTTCCCGAGAAAACTAACACTTTACAACTCTGGCAACTAATTAAATGTCTATTTATGAGTATGTTGATATAATGATTGGTTTAGTTAAGGTGTCTCAATGGTCATAGATAATGTAAGGATAAACCGATGTATGACTCAAGAAACCTTTCATCTTTAAGCTTTCATTCATCTCTTTAATCAAACTCAATTATCATAAAATTTTTCATTGGGAAGTTACATTTTTAAAACTAAATTTTTAAAAAAGCTTGAGATTCAAATTCCAATGTTAATTCCTTGTAAAGACAATACATTGACTCAAATTTTTTTACTGCAAATCATTATTTACTAATCAATGAAATGTATTAACTATTCCAACAAAAAATCTAACATTTCTAATAAATGATTGAATAATCTGTTAAAGTTTGAAATTTCATCATGAGATGGCGCCACAACAATCACTGATTTTACGGTCACTTATGTTTTCAATTTATAAGACAATATTAATGAGTGTTATTTGATTTGAGCGAAGGGAGTTTCATTGAAATGAATACACAATGCTTACCTTAGCGATATCAGATATAGTATTTGTATTATCGTTTAACTTTACTAGGTCCATTTTAACCTTTCTCAAGCTAAAAAATTAATCAAATGTTGAGCCTGAAATTTATAAATTAGGCCACGGAATTTGAGTTTGTACGTGAACAAAACTGCTTCTTTACATTCACAATTAATTTTATACTTTTCTTGTATCTTAAGAACCAGCTAAATTGCAGTTTAATCCTAAATTATATTTCAAGTTTGATTAATTAGAATACATTTTCTTCTTTTCTGGTGTAAATCTTGAATGTAAAGAATATAAGGTTGAATTTTGAATGGTGCAAACTTAATTTCCGGGTCAATAAATATTACCTGTAAATGGCCAGAAGAAATTTTCTTTGATGGTTTCTGATTCTGGATGGGCTGACTTTCTGGACAAGCTTGGAATTTTTGTAAATCAGCCAAGTTTCTCGCAATACATTGGCAGCAGAATTTTTTAACTGTAAAAAGAAGAGACAAAACATTGAAAATTAAAATTTGAAAAATGATACTTTTGATTATTTCAATCAAACCATCAAATTTTTTTACCGCAAAAGTTTGAATTTTATCCTAACAAATCTTTGACCTTTTCATAGACTGGATATTCATTGAAATTTCATAAGCTTCATTTTTTTCATCCTTTCAACCTTTAAAGATGAAATTTATAACAAAGACTTGGGATTCCCAGTGAACTTGAAAACTCTTTTTTGAATAATTCAATTTCTGCTGAAAATGTGTTTTTTGGGAAAACATTTCTTTCATCCAATTTTGGTTGACAAAGATCATGTTGAAGGGGGAGAAATTTCAATGATATCGACTTGTGGAGTTGCTTTAGGATTATGCGTTTATTGACACTTACCCTTTTATTTAATTGAGTTTCCATCATGAAATTATGAACACGCTTCTCAGCTCGAGTCAATTCCAGCTTTCTAGCAATCACAGCAACAACCAATGCTGTACAACCGGCGCCCTAATCAATCAACAAAAATAAAATACAATGACTTACATTGAATAAATCTAGTTTAATGGTAGTTATTATGGTCAAACATTATTCTGGTTTAATGCAGCAACATTTTCATGTATGCCTGAGAATAAAT